GCATATAGTCATTACAATTTGCTATATCTTACCTTTATGTCTTATAATATTTACAATACTATATATACTTTAATCTTTAAAAACTTTTCCTTAGAATTACCTATTCATTATAATATCTATACAATATATTATGCACATATTTATGCATTATAAATTACATAATACTGTTTTCAAAAATAATATAAAATTCTTAACTAAGTTAATTAACAAGTTACTTGGCTATATATCAAAAACAATCAAAAAATTTCAAATTTTTCATATAACTTTTAGTTCTCTATTTATAAATTCTTCAGAATTAAAATTCTACTAGATGATCTTCCTATTTCACATGTTTTACACAAATGATATTATTTATATTTATCTATCTGTTATCAATATCATCAAATTAGGTTTTACTTTTATTGAACAACTTGTTCATCTAAACAATTACTATATAACCTTATAGACATTTTATTACAACATTCTTTAAATATTAAAATACTTGATGCTACTTCAAATACTATAACCAATTTACATAACCAAATTAAGCTATTGAGTAGTATAACTATTCATAGTATATCAAATTTACTTTCAGTTTTTTTAACTCTAACAAGTTTAATATCAAATGAACTTATTGATATTATTGCAAGTTTGTTATTCAAAAAAATAATTACAATACTTGTTATCAAATTCTTACTTTATTTTAATCAATAAATCTATCATAAAATCCGAATTTCATATTGTATTTCAAGATCTACAGCTCAACTTTCTGAATATAACATACTTTTAAACATTGCCTCAGTTTTATTACATTCTCTTTTATTCAATTCTATTAGTTCAAAAATAAACTCCTAATATATTTAATAGATTAAATATCAAACTAATTCTATATACATAATTACTAATACTCAAATCTAAGTGGGTCTTGACCACTTCAGTCAGTTTAGGTCACAGATAAATTAATCTGAACTTCTATTTTTTCTATAATATTTTAAAAACAAAATTATACTTTATATAAAATCTTAATTAAATATTTAATAAAGATAAAGGCATAGTCTTATCATTAATATTATAAAAAATAAAAAATAAATTAAGTTGTTATTTTCTAAGCAGTAAAACAAAAATTCAAATTCTACTAATGAAAAAATTAAAAAATTAAACTATAAAATAGTAACTGTTTTCTGTTAATTAATTGAATTAAAATATTTATAACTATAATTATACTAATAAGTAAAATTGTTAATCAGTTAAGTTGATGTAGTTTAAATTATTTTTAACTTATTTTAACTTGAATTAAGCTTATTTTAGAATTACTTCTGATTTGCTTAAAATTTTTTTGTTTATTCTAATTTTATTTTTAACTTATTTTACTTTAAATTGAACATACTCTAAAACTGTTCTAAAATATTTTATTCTAATTAACAATCATAAGTTAAATCAATAAATATTAGGTATATAACAGAAGATAAGTTTTCTGATATGTATCCAATAATTTATCATAGACTCACTAATTACTTGTAACATCTTAACAATATATTGATAACATATTAGTATAATACCCTGACTCAACTCTCACATAATTTTTGTCAGGAAGAAATCTGCAACATTATTATCTCAGTAAATTAGTAAGAAAAATATCCCAATTTTTTTATTATGTATAAATATATATTAGCAAATTATTTTAATAGCTTTTAAGCATGACCAGAATATTACTCTTTAATAATATCTTGGACCATTGTGTATTAGTGAATTGATCTCAGACAGTAATAACAGAAATACATGACTAAGGGTGCTCTCAAGCACCTAAATTAATAGATCGGTGCTCAATTTTTAATTAGCGGAACATAATTTGGATGGTCAAATAAGCTCGTTATCGCAATGAAAAAAAAAGATGGTCGAGACCATCTTTTTTTATCATAGAGTTGTGTTTATTGGCTAAAATTTAAGATCCGCATTTCGCACTATGAACCTTCAGCAAAATTGCCGTAAGAATTACCTCAATTAATTATAGTGCTTGTGCACGATCTCGTTTACTAGCTGATCATATTGAGGGAGATGCTTGAGAGCACCCTAATACTGATCGGCCGCTATTAGTATCCGTCATGTATTTCCGTTATCACTGTCTGAAATCAATCTACTAATACCCAACGGCCCAACGACCAAGATATTATTATTACAAATAGTTTTGCAAACAAATTTGCTTACGTACTTTATATAATACGACAGGGTAAAACCCGCCTTGTGAATTAGTAAAATCCGCTAACAGGAGGATCCTTCACCCGGTGTGCAACATATAAAAAAAATATTTTACAATACCAGATCATTCCACTAGTACGTGTTATGATCACAATCCAACACCATTTTATTATAATCATAACATGTACTAACGGAATGATCTATTATTGTAAAATATTTTTTTTATATGTTGCACACCGTGTAGCAGATCACATTAATAAAAAAAACATAGCTAAACGCGGATTTCACCCTAACATGATCTACATACGTAGTGGGTTTTACTTTACAGCGCGGGTTTCACCTAGGAACCTGGCACGCATAAATTTATTTGGCATGCCAGTGCCACTTTGTACTAAGTTTTTTATCTATTAACTATTTTGACTTTCTGGCATGCCATCAATGGCATGCCAATAGGTGCCATGTCAGGTTCCCTAGTTTCACCCTCTCCTTTTATAATTAATTCCGATTAAGCTGCCAAATTACAGTATATTGGATTGTGTAATATATTGTAAATTTGAAGTTAAATTTACTATTTAAAAATTACTATAATCATTTATATTAATTATAATTTTATACGTATATAAGTTTTGATCTATAAGTTGCTTTGTAAGTTGCTTTATAAAGCAAAAGTATAATAAGATATATACAATTTTTAATTATTATTTTTTAATTACTTAACAAAATATAGTCAAACTTCTCTAAGCGCACTTTGCCAGAACTTGAAAAAAGCTTGCACTTTAAGAAAACTTGCAGCTTAACGAGACAAATTTATATTATTCTATATACCTTGGGACTGAGTTAGCCCGGGTACCTATCATTTTATAGAAAATCATTTCAGAGACATGTTAATTTCGAAGACAATTAATTTACAGGCAGTTCATTTTATAGACAATTTAGTTTACAGGCAGTTCGTTTAATAAACAATCTTTAACAGTGAATAACTCCTGATCTACCGTAGAGCACTGAATTCAGTACCCGGGTATATATCAAAACCACAGCACTAAACTTGATTTGTACCCAAGGGGTATTGTATGAAGTGGAGAGTACAATTGATTTTAAGGCTGAGGTTCATTTTTATTGGACGTTACTAGTTTTGAATCAGAAGTTTTGCGTGATGGTACTAAAATATACCCGGGTTTAAATCCTGGGGTACTAGTACTAAATGCAGCGTTCTACGGTTATTACCACCCGATTGTCTTGACGAGATGATCATTTGGTAATCAAAATTGTTCAAAAAAAAAAGAGCAGTAGATCAGGAGTCATTCACTGTTAATGATTATTTATAAAATAGCCTGTCTTCAAAATGAACTTGTCTATAAATTGATTGTTTATGAAATGAGATGTATGTTCTGTGAATGATTTCTATTTAATTACTGTTTATTTAAAAGCATTATCTAGTTAGATTACTCACTAATTGTTTAGTACAATTTCTGGATATATAGGTTGAAGAGAGCTAATAATTAATTTAGTCGAAGACTTTTAATAATAAAAAATATGATGACTGCACTCTTCAAATTATTTGTTCCTAAATAACGCTCATAGGTGTTATTCCGCGCAAATACGGTAAATGAAATCTCTCAAATACATGTTTCATAAAAAAAAACTTTCTAAATGATTTTTGGGGTCTAACCGATATGACACATGTATATCTTACCTTTCTAAAATGCAATATACCCATTTTTCATTATGATACATTTAGAGTGGTACATTTGTTTTAAAATGTGTTACAGGTCAATCCCAAAACTTAATTATCGCGTTGTGTATGTCGATATATAATATTTAGAGTCCGCAGATGATTAATAATAATGATTACTAATCATCTGCGGGCTTCAAATATTATATCGCCGACTTCACACGATCGATAATTAAGTTTCGGAATTTTTGAAAAATATATATTCGTAGTGCGTTTATAGAGAAATAGTTATACGTAGAAAGATCTAAATGTATTATACATATTTACTAAGAGAAAGAAAATGTTTTTATTTCAAACAATTTTATTCAATGAACTATTTATTACAAAGTCTGGTTTTAATGTATTACAATTATTTCTTGCTATAGCTTTAATTAGTAATAAAAATATCGGGATTATTAAAAGAATAGATTGCATTGATTATTAAATAAATCCTTCCCCAATTCCCTGGCTATAATTTTCACAGCAAATTACCTCCTAGAAAAAATGGAGTAAGAGGTGATTATCAATCTAACAAGTTTTTGTTAAATATTACAGTATTAGCACTCAAATAAGGCCTTTTCATACTATATAGATTGTCAAGCATCTAAAACAAAATCATAAAATTGAATAGAGTAAAATTGAAAACAGGCTATATCGAATTTGATAGATATCCAATTATTTATTGCAATATTCTAAACAAATATTTAATATGCACAGCATACTAAGTTATTTTAATATCAAGCTCTAAACGTTTCACATTGGTGCGATTTAACGGGGAGAAAGGGGAAGTTGCTCGTAGTTACATATAGTATACAAAATGAGAACCAATCCTAAATTAGAATACAAAGACTATGGTACAATGTAATAATATCGTTCGAAAACATTACAAACTAGAGATTACTAATATGTAATTGAAAATTGGTTAATATTTCAACCAACCCGGTTGAATTTAAACCGAATTTAATCCGAATTATAATAACCGGTTCTGAACTCTAACAAAAACAAACAATTCAAAAGAAAGTACTGAACTATAAATATAGGTTCATTCACAGAAGAAATGAGTCAATTCAAGTGTGCTTAAAAAGAACTAAATCAGATAGCTAAAAAGCAAATTTTAATCTTCCGATTTAATAGGCTGTTCTGAAGTTTGTGTTGATGTTAAAGAACCTGGAGAGTTGTCAATATTTGAAACCTGAGTCATTTCTACCGTTAATGTTATTGGCGTTTGTTCATTGTTAATTATTTCTGTAACACCACTTTGATTACTGCTAGAACTATTCGTAGTATTACCATCTTCTTCTGACCTATTTCCCACCGTCACTACTGAACCTTCATCACTCCCATTACCATGCATCATAATTGTATTCCCATTAGCTTCATCTTCTCCCACCACTGTATTTGCGTTTGACCCCTCTAAAAATTCTACGTATTTAGGTAAAGATAACCCATCATATGGAGGCAAATATTCATCAACTGATCCAGCAGTTGAAGCAGTGTCGAATCCGTTTTCGTTTCTGACTCTCGTAACGTTAGTAACTTGACCATCATTTGGAGAGAAATTACGCCCTCTCATCTTATTTACAAGTTTAAATAACCAAAATATCAATTCAACTAATATTACGATAGAGATTACTATAAGAATGAACTTCGTTATTTCCGAACTATAGTTTGAATTCATATTGTCGTTGTCTGAATGGGGGTTGGAACTTTTATTCCCATCCATATTTGGTACTGATACTTGGGTGGGTGATGGTACAGGTACGGAAATTACGGGGGAAGCCAGAAGAATCAGAAGCGAGCATATTATGTATTGAATTGTCGAACGTATAAAAATAGGATTAGGTGTTATTAAAGAACCCATTCTGGAAATATTCTGTAAATGCTTTATATATATATATGTATGATATTTTGAGGTAGGTAGTTGCTTATATTTAATTTTATTCGTTACAAAAAAAATGTAACTAAAAAGAGTGTATTGATCTCTTTTCACGTTTAGATTATAAAGTTCCTGCCGCAATCAACACATAACTTCTTATGTGTTGTATCGAAAGGTATTAGGATGAGACACATATGTAGGAAAAGAAAGGACCTTATCGAAAGTTATGATGTAATAAAACGAGATGATTTTATGGTGGCAGAAGAAATTTATAAAGAGACATGAAAAGAGTGAGATGTTTCGTATCGGAAGAATAGAGTTTTGTTTTTAAACAAGAATCGCACATCCTTAGTATTATTGTATATATAGGTCATGTTTTGTTTGTTTCTGCACTGGGTACAATTTAGTAACAAAAGGAAATTATTGACCGTTATGTCCTCCTTAATAGTTAAGATCTATAAATATTTCATTTCACAGATAAACCAATCATATACAATTTCTATTGGAATTAAAATTTCGGGGCAAATTTATATTCTGTTTCGGATTAATAAAATATATTAGTACGCAGTATACATGTGTTTAAAATTCAGGCAATCACATAAATTGCAACTTTTTGGGCCGTAGAATGGTTGAATCGGTGTAACTTGAACTCAAAGTGGATAAGCGTCATAATCGTAAATTACAAATTGCATCAGAATTAAACTTTTTGCTCTTAAGCTGCTTATCCAGAAAAATCATAATCTCATAGCCTAAAACGAATTATGCCGGACGAAGCGGGTCATAAGAGACAGCGTGTTTCTAAAGCCTGTGATTCTTGTCGCCGCAAGAAAGTAAAAGTAGGTGCTCTTTTGTTGAAGGATTTATTTTGTTGAAGGATTTAAAGAATTTTGGTTATCATTTTATTTTCCAGTTATTTCGGTATTATAATTCTCCGTTAAATTATACTATATTTATTTACCGTTTTTCCTATTCCTCCTTTTGTTATTCCTAGTGTGATGGCGTTCAGCCAGTGTGTGGCAACTGTTTAACTTTTAACCTGGATTGCACTTATAACGATGCCACCAAAAAAAGGTTTTTATCCTTTTTTTTTTTTTTTTTTTGTCAAGAGAATCTATAGAGGGAATTATCATGGTCAATTTCCTATTTTTAATTTTAGTTACCCTCGATTTTATGTTTCATGTTGATTTGTTTTATGCAGGGGTCCCCCTAAAGGTTACATCGAAGCTATTGAGACGCGATTACATAGAATGGAATCCCTTTTAGGTGGGTTAGTTCATAGCAATGATCCCTTTGCGGAGGCTGTATTGGCAGAGTTGATGCAAGATGACCCGCGTCCTTCTCGTAAATCTGGAAATGCGGAATTTACATGGAGGAATGGTTCTTTATCAATGCACAGTGATACAGGACGGTCGGGCAGTAGTGGCGTACAAAGTCCTGAAAATGTTCAGGCAAAAGATAATTCTAACATTGACGATTTAAATGAAGTTATGGGAATTCTTAGCATAGACGAGAACAAACAGGTTCGTTATCATGGACGAAGTAGTGGACTTTATCTCTTAAAGAATAGTGAACGATACAAAAATGGAATGTTATCGTTATCCGATAATTCTCCAGAGGAAACTTTAATTTCTACCCAAAATCTAGAATCATTAAAGCGACCAGAATTGACGATATTGCCTTCCCAAGAAATATCCGAACATTTATTGGAGATTTATTTCACGCACATCCATCCTCTATTACCCATTATCTATAAACCAATTTTCTTTAATCGATTAAAAGATCAAGATAATCCACCACTTCTTCTTTTGAATGCTATATACGCTCTTGCTGCTAGACATTCTGACAGACCTGAATTAAGAAAGAATCTTCAGGATTCGCAGACGGCCGGTGATGAATTCTTTGATCGTGCCAAGGCATTGTTAGATAATGATTATGATAAATCTCATATAACAACCATTCAAGCTCTTATTATAATGGCCTTAAGGGACGTTAGAACTGATAATACCACGAGAAGTTGGATTTATATCGGTATGGCTGCAAGAATGGCACAAGATTTAGGTATTCATCGTAATAACGAAAAGTGGCAACCGATCTCGTTATCACATGAAGAAAAAGAAGAACAAAAGCGTGCCTTCTGGTCTTGTTTTGTAGTTGATAGGTAGGTGAATATCTGCTCGTACATCCTCAAAAGATTCAATAATATTTTATATTATCTGTTAACATCAATATTGGGTATATCAATACTTGTATGTTTTTTTCTTTTTAATAGAATAGCAAGTACACATATGGGACGTCCGTTAGGCATTGATGAAAAAGATGTTGATGCTACGTATCCATCAGAAGAGGAAGATGATGAGTACGAATCACTTCCGTTTAAAATGGCACATGTAACAACGTCTTCAACGTTGTTATCGTCATCCCCCTCCACTAATAGCAGCATTATCGGATCACCTATGTCTCCCGCTTCAACGTTAGCTAACAAAGATGCGCAAAATATTGCACATTCTGTTTCACGGTTTAACCGTTTAATCAAGCTTTGTGAAATAATGGGACGCATCATTCAAAATATATATGCGATCCGATGTAATATAGCTTCTGCTAACAGTACAGTTATCTCGGTTCTTGACTCATCTCTTACGTCTTGGTTCTTAAATTTACCGCCACATTTACAATACCATCCATCATCAAATCAACCTTTTGACACCACAACACTTAATCTTCATGCTTTATATTATTCAACTTTAATACTTCTTCACCGTCCTTACGCCAACACGAATATGATTAGTAAAAATTCATCTCATAACATATGTACTACTGCGGCGAATGCTATCACTGAAATCGCTGATACAATGAGGAGGCGAAAACAATTAAGACATAGTCCTACTACTGTAATTTATTGTACATTCACAGCTGCTGTTATTCATACGTGCAATGCTGTTCAACCTGATGTCTCTATTTCTCAACCAGCAAGGGAGAACCTTGAGAAAGGCCTAAAAATATTAGATGCTTTAATGGCTATTTGGCCATTAACGTACAAATATGCTGTTATACTAACCGAATTAGCAAACCTGAGGGATATACAGTTAGATGTAGATATGGAAACAAAAATTGATAGACCAGAAGACGGGTTCAATACTAGGAAACTTATTAGTCCCACAATCTTAGATCAACATGAACGACAAGCGGGATATCACGCGTTAAATAATAAAAATATATCACATAATAATAATAAAGATAGTTCCACACAGTCACAAATCTTTAACCCCATATCTTCTTTAAATCCTGCACAGACTTATGAACGACATCCTTCTGTAATGGGTTTTGGTAATCCTAATACAATGTCTTCACAATCCTCATCTTCGTATAATCAGCCACAAAATTCGCAGCTACAATTACATCATGATTTGCAAGAGTCTGCTCAAATGTTTAATAATCCATTCGGATATAGATATATTACCTCTTCAACTACAGATCAACAAAATCAACATACAATAGGTGGTACTGATCCATATGCCGCACCAGGCGTGGTATCGACAAACAATAGAATAGGAAATGAAACAATCAGTTCTTTAAGTTCAGGATTTTGGCTTTCGTCAAATACGGATTTAGATGAAAGGTCTTCGTATTTTGGTTCACAACAAATGCAACAGAGTGCTTCACCATTCTCTTCGCCACCTACATTACACTCCCAGCCACAATCACTGATGCAGATGCCGCTGCTGCATGATGATGGAAACGATGTAAATATGTTTGCGGATAATCATACATTTGTTACTATGGGAGTAGGTAATAATAGAAGGGGAAGCACTTCACCATTGGCATATTATTGAGAATTATTCGAATCTTGGATATTTTATTTCAAAATACATTCACAGATAGAAATCTATTTACTGTAACGAACGTATAACGTATCGTAATATATATATATATATATATATATATATAAATCTAGGACATTGGCTAGGACATTAGTTAGGACACAAGTGTAAGAATGGTTGTTTAAGTATTAAGATGTCTATAAGAAGTTTAATTTATTAAAAAACTTGTTAATTATTAATATGATCAAAAATAAAGAATCGATTTGTGATTTTATCTTTGATAGAATTTATCAAAAATGGAAAAAACCTTGATTCGTACACCGAAATTTTTTTTTCAAAACCAACCACTCACCTTTAATTGATATTATCGTGATATTTATTATTTTTTTAAAAAAAATTTTTCTAACATTCAATTAGAAATTACAAAAGTAGATGATTAACTTAGGGTCACTACTTAAGAGGTTAGCTTTTGAACTAGAAGCATACATTTTAGGCATGCCCCAAAATTTTTCCCAGTCATCCGAATTATATCACACGTCTGACATATGTGATAGAACATGCAATCCAATCGAATAGAATTGTTAGCCTAACCGGACTATCCACTAGAAAAATCCTTAGAATTCATCTTATATTAATATTATTTAAAAATTGCAGCATATCGAAATTTAAGAGTATTATAGCAAAGAGACTATCATCTAGAAAAATCTTTAGAATTCATCTTATATTAATATTATTTAAAAATTGCAACATATCGAAATTTAAGAGCAAAGATAATGATTTGCGAATCGAATATCATGTGAACCATTGAAATGGATTCTAATTCATAGATTAATTTTGTTCACTGGTTCAATTCGTAATATTATAAAAATCATTTTGAAATTTAACAAACATCATTATATTTAGAATAAAACCTATCCGTTTTAAATTATCCTAAAACGAACTATTTTAAGAATCTAGTTAAACTTTGTAACTTAAAATTTTTATTTAGTTAAATAAAAAGCTATATAAAGTTAGTTTTTTGGGTCTCATAAAAATTTTTAGAAAAAGAGATCCGGCACCCGATTCTAACTTTGCTTGGTCAAATATTTTTGATTCAATTTTTTTTAATTGGCAACTGTTTTTTAGGGTTTGGGGGTTTGAGCCAAGAAAAAAAAATAAAAATAAAAATTGCATTTTTGTTTGTGTGATTCCTTTACACGTCAAAAAGTATGACAAAAAAAGTTAGCATGGATTCTTTTTGTTAAATTATAACTGCGCCATCCACAAACTTGTAAGGCAGATGCTTATTATTACCAGGATATGCAGATAGGTTCCGTTAATTCCCATATCAGAAAGTTCTAAAGTTTATCTGTATTCAGAAATTGGTACGCCCAATTTCATGCCTGGTTTGTTTAACCTTGTTTTGCCCGCGTTTTTTTGATAAAAACATCCATTTTGTTCGCCTTCAAGTATCGCACGAGGGCTTAACAAGCATCTGTGCTGCACAATTCCGCAGTTAGAAACCATTAAAAAACAACCATTTTTTTTTTAACTATATGCTATGCTCTTGATTTTATTGGATGAATGACAGATGACGTTGTATTCGTCAACTTTGGTAAATTTGTAAATTTGTTGATCAATTTTATATTATAATTAGACAAAAACACAGCATTCGTTTTCAAATCTTATAATTTTACGTCGTCTTTTTTTTTTTGTAAATTTTTCTTTTTTTGCATCAAACTTAACGTAATTTGATCAATACCCGTAACGGCAACTACTATTTCACTCTTTAGTAAAGAATAATTTTTCGTCCGAATAAAAAAGCGATTCGTTAAGATCCAATTTTAATTTTTCGCACCATGGCATTCAATCAGCATCAGCTAATTCCAAGACCGGACATCAAAGTGGGTTTCAGACTAAATGACGAATATGCTGATACCTTGCTTCCACGAATAAGAAAATTATTACGTTCTAATCCTCATTCGAAACGGTAAGATCATTAATACCATTTGCTTGTATTTATTTCTTTTAAAAAAAAAAGAAAAAAAAGATTAATATTATATCAAATTCGATATTTATAATTTGACAATTTTTCTTTTGAAATTAATAGATTTCCCGGAACACAACCTGTTGATTTTGAATTATGTCATTTCGATTTATTAGAATCAGAAGAGTATTTTGTACGAGACAAAACTGACGGGAAGCGATATATTATGTTTTTCACCGCTAAAGACGGTGGGACGGTATTCATGGTAAGTTCAGCTTATTTGACATATTTGGAAAGTACGCGTGCCATAAACTTTCTTTCTGATCTGTTTGTTGATTATCTAATCGATCAACAATTTACTTAAAATTCAGCTGGACGAATCAAACAAGTTTCGATTCCTGACTAATTTCAAGTTACCTCAACGGCATAATCCTAATGCAATACACGATGAGACTATGATGGATGGTGAAATAGTGATGGAAATCGATGACGATAAAGTATTTAATCTAAATTGGGTTTAATTTTCTTTTTTAATTTCTAAAAATTAATTGTTAAATTAATCTTGATTATTCCTTTTTTATGATCTTCAGAAATGTTTACGATATTTAATATTTGATCTAATGGTTTTGAATGGGAGTATTCTCATAGAAAGACCTTACAATAAACGGATGGGTGTACGTGATTAATTTATTTTTAAACTTGAGATTCATTTATTAATCATTTTTAGTCATTTAAAATTTGATTTTTGTCATTGGTTTTTCAGATGTTAAAGCAGGACGTGATTGAGCCATTAAATGCTGCGTTGAAAAGAAATCCAGAAATGAGAAAAAGAATGCCGTTTACGTGAGTATTATGTCTAACCACTACTTCATATTAAATTTATTAATTTTTAACTTCGTGCTAAATTATTATTATTATTTTATCTATAATATATATGCTATCTAAAAAGGATGGAAATCAAATCAATGGAATTATCTTACGGATTGATAAATACTCTACAAAAAATTCCTTCGTTAAAATATGGAAACGATGGTTTGATATTTGTTCCGGTAAACCATCCGTACGAACCTGATATGTGTCGCAAACTGTAGGTTATATTTGTGACTATTATCCTTTACTATAATCAGTCATTTCTTTAAATCGGATTGCAATCTTTAATAGACTTTTGTGGAAGCCAGTAAATCAGATGTTCGTTAGCTTTAAAATCAAAGTCATCAAACATAGGGATAAGAAGCATATATATCAATTACTGATCGCTAATGATGATAATACACATAATTTTTATGATTATTTAACCCCGGATCAACAGACCGAGGTCGAGTGAGTAATTAATAAATTTACATACGTATGATCAAATTCGGTTAAACCTATTTCTTCGACATCCCGTTTCCATGATTCTGTTTCTCCGATAGGATATTTCCCCAGAAATCATACCTTTATGAAGTAGTAGTTAGGTTTAATTCTAGAATACTTCTATCGGTTATACAAATATTTGGGTAAATACAAAAAGAATTCATGATAACTGATTAATTATGTTAGGAAAAAATTTATTAGTACAATACCTTGTCGGTGAAACTTCCACTTAGGGAATTGTTGTCGAGGAAAGAGGGCGCCAGAAAAGTGTCAGATCCGTTTAATTTAATATTAATCTGTTAATTTTATTATCAGCTGGATTAAAAACGTTCGCGATGGAGATATTGGCCAATTCTGGTAATACTATTAATGATATTAGATACTTTAATATATGATGTGTAAGTAAAAAGTACGTTAATATGAACTAGGTATGATGAACACTGGAGCACCACGATTTATGATGCTGATCCACGCATCCGGCATGGTGGCTGGCGGTAATCGATCATATTAATTATTTTTGTAGATGCGGATCACTTTAGATTCTTCTATTGATGCTCGCACGCAATATAGGTTTCGTAAATTTAAAAGCGGGCAACACACCGCAGATTCGGAAAAAGTATTAGCTGAAGTTTTGAATCGAATAAAACACGCTGTTCCAAGAGACGTGGTAGGCTTTGTTCATTTTCTTATTTATCATTATTAATTATAATTTAATTTGAATCATACTAAAAACGATATAATGATTAAAGTTAGAAGAACATGTCACTGTTATAAGAGAAAAGTGGAAACTTCGACAATCTAACAGAACTAGCGGTTCACAACCGCTACCTACATCAATACAAACCTCAATCACACAGACGAGGTATTTATTTTGTTATACGTTATAGTCGTTCATTTTAATAATAAATTTGTTCATTTGGTCCTTCGACGATCAGCTTGTCAGAATCGCTTCACCCTCCTCTCCAGGATTCACGTCAACCTTTGATACACCGTCATGATATTCATAAAAGTAACGAATCATTGATAGAGCATCATGATTCCTCATATCGTTCTCATGATTCACAATTGTATTCGAGTTCTCTAGAGAAAACGCCCCCTGTTAATGAAAACCGAGCATCACATGAAAATAAGGAAGTACCCGAAAGTCTATTGGTATTACATGATCATAATCGAGAACAACTCCAGAAACAACCTTTAGTAGACACCGATGAGCATCATGAACATCGAAATTCGTATGAAAATCGAGAGCTTTTTGAGGAAAAAGATTCAATTGAGAATCAAAAATCATTAAATCAAGATAATGAATTACCCAAGACTCCAATTGCATTACATGATTGTCATAATGAACCTCTTCAGAGAATGCCATTAACTCATCCCATATCAACAAAGGAACGTCGAAATTCTTACGAAGATCTCAATTTACATGATGAAGAGATGGATTCTGACGTATCAGAAGATTTCGCGCAAAGTCGAAGTCCACGAACTCGTAGATCAATTTCAAATACAGAATCTCAAATAACCAAATTTGAACCTACAAGCCCATCAAACAAAGGAGAGTCATTTTCATCAGGATCGGAAAATTCACAGAATCTTGTTGAAGATATTGATCCGGACGCTGATCCATGGGATGCTCCTGATTATTATGAAAGTTCACAAATAGCAAACAATGAATTGTCTTATCCAGAAGACCAATCCGAATATTGGGAAGAGAACGAACATGTTGAATCGTCCGAAAGTTCGGAAGCAGCACTGGATAATAATTTACTAATAGAATCCATGAAACAAAAGACAGATCAACATGAAAAACTCCAGGAATCGGAAATTTCAATACAACAAGATCAATTCCAAAAACGAAAATCTCAACATAAGATTTTTGTGCGCGAAAACCAACTGCCTATTATACCACAACATCAAGATTCACGATATGCCACGCAACAGGGTCAATCTCAAACGCAAAAACCTCAACAACATCGATCGTCTATACATGAAAATCCACAGATAATCTCGCCTAGGCCTCGGCCCCAAATTCTCCAACGGCAATCAGAGTCTCGCATTCCTATGCAACACATTCAACCTCAATTACAACAACGTATTCCAGACACTTTATCTATACAAGAAACTAAGCCCATTATTCAACGATCACAGTCTTTAACACATGAACATCGAATTTATTCACATCTACCCAAAATATTTCCCATACAATCAACACAATATCCTATGCAAGAAATTCAGCGAACAACAAATAGACAATTACAAGATTTCCAAGAGAGTGGACAATTTCCAGAACGAACAGAATGGGAGCCTAAAATAGGAATTGAAATACCTGAAACAAATAACAATAACAACGTTTTACCATACCGACCAATTATCCGTCGACATACATTCTCAAGTAATGACAATACCAATATCCAAAACACACGAAGACAATTATCTGCTGCGACTAATCCGTATTCATTACAACTATCATCATCTCCTATTGATATTACATCACAAAGTTTACCTACGCAATCACAAACAATTCCTAGCACAGGAATAACACCGATATTAAAACATGTACCTGAAGAACTATCAATTTTAAACGAATCACCTAATCATCAATTCATCAATTATACACAAATTTCACCAACACCTTCCAGACCACCACCACAAAAACGTAAATCAAAAGGTGCACTTGATTTTATACTCAATACATTATCACCATCATCAGAAACAAATCAAAAAAGATCGAGACTTGATGACGAAAATGATGAATAATCTAAAAATATGAAAAAATGTATTTTTTCTATAGTTGGAGAGAAATGATGTATTTAAGAAACGAGGCTAAGAAACTGTTATATAGGATATTGTATTATCAATTTTAATGGTTTTATATAAGTAGTATTCCATAAATATGTATTTTTTTTTAAGAGATAAATAAAGTTTTTTTCTTACTTAGTGTATAATTAACTGGGAAGGGATTAAAAGGAGGGGTAGAAATAAGAGAAAGGATACATGGAATTTATTTTTATTGTTTTAGACCATTCGATTTAAAAAAAAAGATAGTATATATGTATATTTATATGAACCCTATTTGACAAGTATTGATTTTTTTTTATTAAATTGTTTTTAAATGCATTATATGCATAATCTACCATACTTTTTGTATTGTTGTCACCTTAAAGTTTAAAAATATACGCCATAGCTAATTTTATTAAAAATGCAAAAGCTCGGTTTCTTTTTTAAATTATTTCAATATTTTGTGATTTTTTTTAGTGTTAATATATGTTCATATTTAACATATTTTTTAATCACAATTACTGTTATGATAAATACGTATTCTGCGCACATACCGTATCGTCGCAAAATAACGCTCCGGGGCGTTATTTTGAGACACATAGCTTGAAGAGAGTTATTAATTAATTTAACCGAATGTATATCATAATTTTTTGTTATTAAAAGTCTTCGGCTAAATTAATTGTCTCTTCAAGAAATGTACCCCTAAATAACGCTCCGGGACGTTATTTTGCGACAATACGGTATACTCGTTCATAGTCTATTGTAAAATATTTTTTAAATAATAGCATTTAAATCGACTAAGAACTAATGCTTTTGATGACAACTTTACCTATTAGCAAAACAAAAGTCTCTTCCAAACATCCAATGTATGCATGATTCTTGAACTTTTAAAACAATATGCATTAATAGAACTTGATATAAAAAATTTTGGTTAATTAATGTGATTAGTACTGTATTGAAAATTAGAAATATTCACCTTTAATATTAAAAAAAAAAAAAATTAGAAATATTTTTAGACAATCGGCATATATTTAATAAGCCGAAAATATTTTGCATTAAAATTTTTAAGTAAATTTTATTTTAAAGTTTAAAATAACTTTTTTTAAGATAAATTCATGAGCAAAGTTTTATTAAGTTAAAGTACATTTAGTTATTACTAAATCTAATTTAAGTATTTAATTTAATATGTACGTATACGTATAGTTGTTTAAACTTTCTAACATTAGCAATTAATTTTACGTCATAAAGCTTTATTATGGATATTACTAACTACGTATACCGATTTGCATATTCTGGAAGGTTTTGTTCGGTATAGAGTAAGTTCGTTACTTTATACCGAACGGTTCAGTATATACAACCAACCAATAAAAACACTCAAGTGACAAAGATCGCCAAAGATTTATTTAAAGTATATGCACATAAGTATATACATACATACATAATAATCCCATAAAACAAAAGAAAGAAACCAGCATTTATCCAGTAGTTTTTTACTTTTCACAAATTCATTTTAGTATTTTTCCTATGATTACATTCTTCACATTACCTATATCACTTATTCTAAGTTTTCAAATTTGGTAATTTGTTTTTTAGGAAGGTTTTGTAATCTTACTAGATTACTTTTATCTTGGTAAATTAGTACTAACCTACCTAGTAATAAATACAGTACCTGTATTGCTCGTTCATGATTATTAATGCCTAGTCTAGTTAGGATGCTTGCTAATCCTTGTTACTTTGAGTAGATACTTATATATGTCATATAAGCTTATTATGCTTTATTACAATTGTAACTTCTAGATACGTAGCAGGTTTTATAATGTAAAAACTATAATTGATGGTTTGTAATAAGCAGCTATCATCTTTATAGAGTCTTTTGTACTTTTTTTATTTTCAAAATTTAATGTTCTTATTTATTTCTAATATACAAGTTTATTTATATATATATATATTGTACTTTCAACCTAGTGCGTCTAACTATTTCATGTTTTTATATATATTCAAATTTCAGTTTGCTGCTTTGTAATTTTAATTATAGTTATTTTCAGATTATATTTCTAATTAAATTTTGCTATATATATCTATACGTATTAGTACTTATTTATATAACCAGTTAATTACTCTTTTAAGTAAATATAAGTCAAAAATGTTAATTAGAAAGTACAAAAATGTTGATATGCTTTATTCTTAAAAACTTATATGTAGAATCTTTATATAGTTTTATAATTTTCTTTATTGTATATAATGTTTATGCTTTATAATAAATTTTTTTTTTAAAAAAAATCAATTAGTTTTGTATCTTAATTGAACTTAACTGCAAAGTTCTATATTTGATTTAACTCTTATAGGTTATAAAAATGAAATTTTTAAAATTTTGTTTTTAACTTAATTTAAACTATCAACCTAGTTTGCAAAAGTTTGGCAGCTTAATTGCTAAGCTATAGGGTCCAAACTCTAATAAGTTTGAGTTTGATTAAATTTTTAAATTAAACTTAATTTAAATTATAAATTTTAATAAAATTTTAAATATAAATCAAAATGAAACTTAATTTTAAATTTATTTTAAGTTTAATTCAAAATTTATTAACTTAGTTTAAGTTAATAATAATAATAAAATAATAAAAACATAACATTTTTTTAATAATTATTTAAATTATCATATATTTAAAACTCTTTTTACTGATCCTCACAACTAAAATCAGAACAGAAAGAAAATTATAGAAATCATAAAAGCTAGCAAGTAAAAGCATAGTTGTCAATTAAGTAAAATTAAAGCTAATAAGAAATTAGATATAGTTTGTTAAGATAGTAGACCAAGTTGATAGCAATATAGTAGTCACTATTGACTTTTAGAAGAAATTTCACACTTTGTTAAAAATTTTTAATAAAAAAAAAAAAACACAAAATTTCTATACTGCAGATCACACACATGACATGTAAAGCAAGCTAGAGTAAACAGTAAACACAACAAAACAAATAAACAGACACATAATTATGCAGATAAACAAATAAATACAGACATAAATAATAAAACACATGTTAAATATATACAATAAAGATATAGAAATAATGTAAAGAAATATGATACAAAAAGTTCAATTAATATTTACAGAAATCAACTGGTACAAGAAATTAGAAAAGTATTATATTATTTTTAATAAATCTAACAGAATACAAAAAGAATTATTAGATAGTCATAAATCAAAAGTTTTAAGAAAAGATGAAGAATTGATCAGATTAGTTGGCACTAAGGTAGTCTTTGTTTGTATATTTAGAAACTTAATTGAAGTATATAATTACTGTGAATATGTACAAGTAAGAAACAATAAGAAACCAAAAAAGAATAGTGTAGATCAATTAAATGAAGACAAAATGAATAAAGAGATATTATTAGAATAAGAATATAGGTGCATAGATTATAGTACACTAGAAAAGTAAACAAAAAAGTGTTCAGTAAGAAAAAATAAAGAAGAGAAAGAAAGTAAAACAGAAAAAAATGATTAGCAGAAGAACATGAATAGTAATATAAAGATAAATAAGAAGCATGAAACAGACAAAGAAGAAATGAACACAAAAAAGAAAAAAAGCCTGAAATAATTACAAATATTGAACAAATATAGAAAAAACAAATAAAAAAACAAAATTATACAGATAAGACAATAAGAATGCATGAAGATAGTAAGTTAGAAGATAATATCTATACAATATAAAATATTCCAGTAAAAGTAAAACTAGTACATATAAGAAAGTGACTTCAATTTTATAATAAAATTAGGTTTATTTAATAGAAAAGTTGTGATAATAGTAAAGTAACAACATTTGCTATTGAGTTTAGAAATGAGAACAGAAAATCAATGCTTGATCAGATATGGTCAATGCATTTTAAGAAAAACAAAACTTATAGAGTTACACTAGGTATTTTTGCAAGAAAGATATTAGAAAGTAGAGCATTATATAAGATAATAATTAAAATGTTTTGACAACAACAATAAAGATACTATTATTAAAACAACTAAAAGCAGTAAAGACAAAGATAGTTTATATTTCAGTAAATAGAAACAAAAACAAATAGAAAACTGCATCAGTTTACTTTGAGACAGAAGAAGACTTAATAATAACTACCAATAAGAAACACAAGATTAGAGTAATGTAATAAAAGAGTATTCAAAAACAATAAAACCAAAGAAGAAAAAACAAAGATATAAAAGAATATATTGTAAATAGAAGTTCACAGTATAGAAAATACTTGAAAAGTCAAAAAAATATTAAGAAAGAAGAAAGTAATAAAGAAAACCAGCAGAGAAAAGATAAAGAAATCAATAGAAAATATCCCTTAGATTGTAGTAGAATACAGACAAATTTGTCTGTGTTTTTGTACTTTTTTAGCTCTGATCTACTTTTTTAAAAAACTAAAATATTTAAATAAAATTTGGTATAATAA